AGTTTTGTTCCATTTGTTGATATGAGTGTGAAAGAGAGAGACATAGAGTGTGAGAAAGAAAGAAAGAAAGATGGAGAGAGAGGGATGGGAATCGGGTGAAATGGGGAAATTTGTAGGTCAAGGGCTACTTACCCTTCTATATAAGAACGGGGATAAGACAAATATAAGAAATTATCGTCCAATAATCCTTCTTACAGTGGTATATAAATTCATAGCGAAAACACTAGCAGACCGTATGTCTACAATAATTCCAGATATCATTCACCCATCCTAAACAGGTTTCATAACAGGAAGGAACATTCAAGATAATATTCTTTTAGTAAATGAACTTCTGAAAATATCTCGTCAATCCAAACACAATGCAACTTTTATTTTCATAGATTTTGAAAAAACATATGATCATGTCGATTGGTTCTTTTTAGATAAATGTCTGGAAAAGATGAACTTCGGCCACAACTTTAGAAGGTGGGTGAGAATCTTACATCAAAATGCAACAACAAGGGTTATGGTCAATAATAATGTAACCCCCCCCATCCCACTAGAAAGATTAGTAAGACAGGGGGATCCTGTGACTCGTTTTCTTTTTATCATTATTATGGAGGCACTGAGGGCAAATTTGGGACATCATAAGGATATTAAACGAATACAGGTTACCAATATACCGAAGGAAGCAATTCCAATCTGCTCTCTTTTTGCTGATGACCTATCACTTATGGTTGATGCTACTGATGAAAATATGGCAGAAATTCAAAATTTGATGGAAAATCTTATCGCCTTTCAGATATGAAAATCAATTGGGGTAGCAAAACAACTAGTTGGTGGATTCATCATCAAGGAGGGAGACCTCCTGAATTGCCAAGAATAAAGTGGTTACCCCTGGATACCCCTATTAGATTATTAGGGATTTCTTTTTCTGCTAAAGGAAAGCCAAAAAACCATAATGAATGGATCTCCGAACATGCTCAATCTAAAATGGAAATGTGGAAAAATAAGCAAACATCCATTTTTGGACGATCGACGATAATCAACAATGTAATCCTAGCATCTATATCGTACAAATCATGAATTTGGTCTCTAGATAAACACTCTCTTAAATCTCTACGACGACAACTAACTGTTTTTCTATGGAGGGGAAATCATGAACATAGCAATGTCATCAACAAAGTAGCATGGCAGTCCATT